TACCGCACCTGGGTGTGGTGTTGCCAGAACCTGGTGACAGCTGTGGCTGTGGGAGAGCTGTGGCCCCATGGGAGCTGTGGCCTTCTACAGAGGAAGGCAGCTGCTGCCAACACCCAGGCCCAGCAGTGGGACCGAGGGTATGGAATGATAGCCCTGACCTCTTTCTCATCCCATCAGCTGGTCTCCTGCAAGTGCCTTCCATTGGCCAAACCCAATAGGAAGCTGAGGGCCAGGAACCAGGACAGTAAATCTACAGAGGGCAGCTTCCTGTGGCCCTGAGCAGGGCAGGGAAGAATGGAGAGTGAATCTAGAATCTTGTCTCCTCCTCCTGATGTCACCTTCCCATAAGCCCACTCCTCTCTGGTTCCTGAAGAGCTTACAAGTCCCTGTGCTACCTGTGCTGGGAACCCATTCCACCTCTCAGACTGAGCTGGGCCAGGTCTGGACCAGGCTCAGGGAGGCTCCTACCACATGGAGAGGATTTCGGTTGCCCTGAGTCTACCTCTGCCCCCGCTGTACAGCATCAGGATCCCAGATGGTCCCATTCTCCTCGTGCCAGGCTTTAGGAACAGGCAGGCTGGGTAATTACACTATCCTAACAAACCCCCGCCCCCGTTTGACTCTCTTTCAACTGCAAGAAGCAGGAGGTTTCTCCCTGCTTCTCCCCTGCATGAGCGCTGGCCTCTGCCTCTGATCCTCTGAAATTCCAGGTGGCGTGAGAGGCCTGGGGAAGCCAGGGGAACGCCCTGACCCTCTCGGCATCCCGGAGATTGAGAAAGGGCTTGCTGTCCATGCTTGCCATATCCCAAAAGAAGCCAAGTCCCTCCCTCCTCCCACTTCGGAACTTTTTTTTTTTTTTTTGAGATGGGGTCTCGCTCTGTCACCCAGGCTGGAGTGCAGTGGCACGATCTCGGCTCAATGCAACCTCCGCTTCCTTGGTTCAAGCAATTCTCCTGCCTCAGCCTCCTGAGTAGCTGCCGTTACAGCACATGCCACCATGCCCAGCTAATGTTTGCATTTTTAGTAGAGATGGGGTTTAATCATGTTGGCCCGGCTGGTCTCAAAGTCCTGACCTCGTGATCCAACTGCCTCAGCCTTCCAAAGTGCTGGGATTACAGGCGTAAGCCTCCGTGCTGGACCGGAACTATTATTAATTTCCATGGGTTCACTTCTCAACACTGGCCTACGGTTCCCACCTAGAACCCCTTTATTTTTGAGACAGAGTCTCGCTCTGTTGCCCAGTTAGGAGTACAATGGCTTGATCTTGGCTCACTGCAGCCACCTAGAACCTTAATAGCCCCTTCTTCCACACCAGATCATATCTTACCCTAATAGTCCCGAAGGCCCCTGAGGGAGGAACTTGAAGTGGACTCTGGGCTCTGAGGCCTTGGGATCCAGTCACAAGGTTACATCTCTCAGTTCAGGTAACTGCTCCTTCCTCCCTGCCTTCCCAGCCCCCAGCACCAATTGGGTGCTAGGTCTTCCCAGTGTGCATGTCTTGTAATAGAGGACACTCTTTTGGCCTGCCCATTATCCATTTCTCCTGGCAACAGCTTTGGATATTTGGCTTGGGGGAACTGTTTCCGCTGGTATAGTCTTGGTGGACTGTTAATGAAGGCTACCTCCATTCCCTGGCCAAGGGATTGGCATGTGACCCAAGGTCAGCCAATCAGAGACTCCCTCGTCCTTGAATTTTTTTTTTTTTTTTTAATAGAGATGGGGCCAGATGTGGTGGCTCACGTCTGTAATCCCAGAACTTTGGGAGGCCAAGACAGGCAGATCATCTGAGGTCAGGGGTTTCAGACCAGCCTGGCCAACATGGTGAAACGAGGTCTCTACCAAAAATATAAAAATTAGCCATGCATGGTGGCGTGCACCTGTTATTTCAGCTACTAGGGCGGGTGAGGCAGGAGAATCACTTGAACCCAGGAGGCAAAGGCTACAGTGAGCTGAGATTGCACTCCAGCCTGGGCAACAAAGTGAGATTCTGTTAAAAATAAATAAATGAATGAATAAATTAATAAATAAAATAGAGATGGGCTCTTACTCTCTTGCCCAGGCTGTCTCAAACTCCTGGGCTCAAGGGATACTCTTGCCTCAGCCTCCCAAAGGGCTGGCATTACAGACATAAGCCACTGTGCCTGGCCACCTCCTTGAATCTGAAATGGAATGACATGAAAATGGGACCCAGTATAGAGGCTCACACCTGTAATCTCAGCACTTTGGGAAGCCTTGGCTGGAGGAGCGCTTGAGACCAAGAGTTCAGAAACAGCCTGGGCAACATAGCATGACCAGTCTCCAGAGAAAGAAAGAAGAAAGAAGAAAGAAAAAGAAAGAGGAAGAAAGAAAGGAAGGAAGGAAGAAGGAGGGAGGGAAAGAAAGAAAGAAGAAAGAGGAAGAAAGGAAGGAAGAAGGAAGGAAGGAAAGAAAGAAAAAAAAGAAAGAAAAAGAAAAAGAAAGAAAGGGAAAGAAAGAAATATCTTTGGCTAGAGTCACAGAAGCTAGAAAAAAAAAGGAAGGAAAGAAAAAGAGTAAAAAGAGGAAAGAAGGAAAGGAGTAGAAAGAAAGAAGAAAGAGAAAGAAATGAAGGAAGGAAGAGAAAGAGAGAGGAAGGAAAGGAGGAAGGAAGAGAGAAAGGAAGGAAGGAAAGGGAGTTAATGTATCCCCAAAGCAGCACCATAAAGGGATTGCTCCTTAGCCTTTCATTTCACTATCCTGCTTCTTCCTGTTTCTGGGACAGCCTCTTTAGCATTTTCTTTGATTCTGTTAGCCACCCTCATTTCTTCCTAATACAATCATTCTTTGCTTACATTAGCTAGAGTTTTTCTGTTGCTGGCAACCAAAGCCTCCTCACCCATATACATTTCACCTTCTTAGAAGAGCAGAGGGATGTGCCCCTGTGGTGGGCTCATATCTGGAGTCTCTGGCAGGGATTCAACTCTCTCCTGGTCCCAGAATGAGAGGGAAGAAAGCCCTGCTGCTAGTGGATGCGTGTCACTCCCCACCTCGGGGGCCTCGTCTCTGTAGCCTGTCTTGCCAGGATCCACTCCCAGCCTAACCTCCAGGTCTCAACGAAATAGCTAAGTTTACCCCCATGACTCCTTATCACAAGTGGCTCAGGCTGGTGTCATGGTTATTTTCCACAAATAGCCAGCTCATTCTTGTGCTGTGCCCTTGCTCTTGGTGTTCTCGGACACCTTATCTCAGGGTAAGCTGGGCCCCCCGCACCCTTTGCCCCAGCCCCTCCCGTGCCTTCATACCTCAGGCCACATCCTGCCTCTTCTGAACCAACACCTCATTGGGTTCCCTCTGATGTGGGATAGGCAGGGCAAGTGATCTGTGTGGTTGAGCTCCGTTTCCTTTGTAGACTTCAGTCTTTGAGGACTTGACTACAAGCTCCAAGTGCATTGTTACTTTTCTTTCTTGGACCTCAGTGTCAAGCATGAGGCTGGGCACACAGTCAATGGCCATGTTGATTTCTCCACCCCTAGTTTGAAAATTGTTCCCACCCTGTGATCCATATTCTTCATTCATTCATTTACCCAACATTTATCAAGCACCTACTAAGTGTGGGTTCCGTCCTGGGTGCTGGAGGGACACACCGAATAAAACATAGCTGAGGAATTCAGTCTCATGGTGAAAATTTATTGAGAATTAAATGTAGCAGAAAATAACCAAGCCTAGTTTTTCTCAGCTGCAGGCTCACCTCAAAAGAGTGAAAGGCATTTCATCCCTGGAGCAAGGGGCGGTAGAGAGCCAGACTTTATGTCCTTGAAGTGTGGACTTCCTTGACCCCCATGAGGGTTGGTGTAGCTCAGAGGAGAAAAGAGAAGCTGCAAGCAGCAGGATACCCAGAATACAACTTCCAAACAGACTTTTTATTTTTTTGAGACAGAGTCTTGCTCTGTCTCCCAGACTGGAGTGCAGTGGCATGATCTTGTATCACTGCAACCTCTGCCTCCTGGGTTCAAGCCATTCTCCTGCCTCAGCCTCCCCATAGCTGGGATTATAGGCATGCACCACCACACCCAGCTAATTTTTGTATTTCTGGTAGAGGCAGGGTTTCACCATATTGGCCATGCTGGTCCCAAACTCCTGACCTCATGACCTACCCGCCTTGGCCTCCCAAAGTGCTGGGATTACAGGCATGAGTCACCACACCCAGCCTAAACAGATTTTTTAAACAAAGATTAGGATGGAAGGCTTAATGCTTCCCACATTAAAGCAGGATGGTCTCAACTAAAGAGGGTTAATTGGAACTCTCAAGACTAGAAAGCAAATGAAGGTATGAATTCTATCGGTGGCAGAAACCTGCACTCATGAGGATGCATCTTCTGAGATGGGAGGACCTAGGAGGAAGAACATTTGGATGACCGAATGTGTGATAACAATAATAGCCAGCATTTAGTGTGTACTTACCAAGCGCCAGCAGGCACTGCGTTAAGCATATTGTACTTATTCACTTATTTCTCACAAGAACCCTGTGAAGTAGGTACTATTATTGTTTCCATTTGACAGATAAGGCAAAGCAAGATTAAACGAACTTCCTAAGGCTATGGATCCAAGAATCAAACCCAGGCAGATTTCCCTGAGGGCCATGTATGCCTATGAGGGCTGAGCATAAAGGGCTATAGTTTTGGGAGCCTTTGTTCTCAAAGGACACCATGGCTGGACTTGTCACAGAGGAGATAGGGCTACACCCCCCACTTGCGGATATGCTTCACAGCCAGGCCGGACATATTAGCTGTGGCAACTGGCCACAGCCAAAGGCCAGTACTGAAGGACCTGGTAATCTCGGTCAGAAGGGGCTTGTATCAGTTAACCATGGCCACAGTAATTAGTGCTGTAGAACAATCACAAAATTTTAGCAGCATACAACAGTAAGCATTTATTTAGTGCATATGTTTGGGGACCAGCTGGGGGTTCGTTGCTATAGGCTAGCTTTGGCTGGCATGGTTTAGCACCTCTCTACATGTCTCTCATCCTCCTTTCATGACCAGCAGGCCAGCCAGGGGGTGTTCATGGAGATGGCAGAAGCACCCCAGCGACAGTCCCAATGTGCACGCCCATTTTAAACCTCTGCTCACATCACATCTGCAAAAATACTGCTGGCGATGGCAAGTCACATGGCTGAGCTGAAGCAAGGTATGGAGAAATCCACCCTGCTCAAAGTTACCAGGTAAAGAATGTGGATGGATAAACCTATTTTCCAGGGTGGGGTGAAGAGATGGAAGCAAAATCTAGCATTCCACAGAACTTAAACTGGATTTAATTTTGATTTCAAGAGAGAATGAAATGCTGCGTTATGTGTAGAGCAGTTCATGCTAGTTATAAAATCTATCTTCAGGGACCACAAATTTTACCATGAGAATATTTAAATTTTTAGTTTTTATTTTAGTGAAAATCTTAAAATAACTTTTAGCAAGAACATATTCTGGGTGGTCTAGAACAGCGGTCCCCAACTTTTTTGGCATCAGGGACTGGTTTCGTGGAAGACAATTTTTCCACAGACGGAGGGGATGGTTTTGGGATGAAACTGTCCTCAGGTGTTAGTCTCATAAGGAGCGCACAACCTAGATCCCTCGTGTGTGCAGTTCACAACAGACTTTGCGCTCCTTAGAAAATCTACTTCCAGTCGGGAGTGGTGGGTCACGCCAGTAATAACTGCACTTTGGGAGGCCAAGGCAGGCGGATCACGAGATCAGGAGTTCGAGACCAGCCTGGCCAACATCGTAAGATCCCATCTCTACTAAAAATACAAAAAATTAGCCGGGTGTGATGGTGGGTGCCTGTGATCCCAGCTGCTCGGGAGGCTGAGGCAGGAGAATTGCTTGAACCTGGGAGGTGGAGGTTAGTGAGCTGAGATCGTGTACCACTGCATTCCAGCCTGGGCGACAGAGCAAAACTCCGTTTCAAAAAAAGAAAAGAATCTAATGCCACCATGGTCTGACGGGAGGCAGAGCTCAGGCGGTAATGCTCGCTCACCCACGGCTCACCTCCTGCTGTGCAGCCCACTTCCTAATAGGCCAGGGACTGCTATCAGTCCTCAGCCCAGGTTGGAGACCCCTGGTCTAGAAGACGTTGGTAGTTGCCTTACAGTTTTCAGAGACCCAGTGATCTGCTGCAGTGCCAGCATTTAACTTTTTTTTTTAGAGACAGTGTCTCCCTATGTTTACCAGGCTGGTCTCAAACTCATGGGCTCAAGCGATCCTCCCCCGTTTGCCTCCCAAAGTGCTGGGATTACATGTAAGCCACCATGCCCAGCCTAGCATTTAACTTTTCAGTCCAGCTTTCTCAAACCAAGACCTGTATTTTCAGGGAGTCATGCATTTCTAAGGCTGGAAAACTTTGGTGAGAATGTTACATACCAGACAATATATAGAAGAGGCCCAGAGATCATGCTATGGGCATTTAAAAGTGATGGGGGCTAGGGCAGCTGTGGGAGCTCCAGGCAGGGTGTATGGTGCTCGACAGAGAAGCAGTGGCAGCATTTGAATAGGTCTTGATGGATGGCAGAGTAGGGTCCTGGTGATAATCTCCAAGTTCCTTCTTCTCCAAGTGGACATATCAGATACTTGTCCCTGGGGCTTCTGGACCACGGCCTTGTCCTTCACCCTCACATCTATGCTACTGGCTATAGCATTTGAAGAAGAGGCTGAGGAGTATAATGGCTGAGCTTTCTGGCTTTGGAGCCAGGTCAACCAGGGTTCAAATCTTGACTTCAGGCTGGGTGTGATGTCTCACTCCTGTAATTCCAGCACTTTGGGAGGCTGAGGCAAGCAGATCACTTGAACTCAGGAGTTTGAGACCGGCCTGGCCAACATGATGAAACCCTGTCTCTACAAAAAATACAAAAATTAGCTGGGCATGGTGGTACGTGCCTGTGGTCCTAGCAACTCGGGAGGCTGAGGTGGGAGGATCACTTGAGCTTGGGAAATATAGGTTGCAGTGAGCTGAGATCACGCCACTGTACTCCAGCCTAGGTGACAGAGCCAGACCCTGTCTCAAAAAAAAAAAAAAAAAAAAAAAAAAAAATCTTGGCTTTGACATTTCCTAGCTCTGAGCCCTTAGGCAGGTTGCTTGAATTCTTGGAGCCCCACTTTCCTCATCGGAAGAAGGGAATTGTAATACTCTCCTGGGGTGTTTTTAAATTAGAACCTGGCTGAGTACAGTGGCTCAGAGCTGTAATCCCAGCACTTTGGGAAGCTGAGGCAGGCAGATCACTTGAGTCTGGGAGTTTGAGACCAGCCTAGGCAACATGGCAAAATCCCATCTCATCAAAAATTACAAAAATTAGTCAGGCGTGGTGGGGTGTGCCTATAGTCCCAGCTACTTGGAAGGCTGAGCCTGGGAGGTGGAGGTTGCAGTGAGCCGAGATGGCGCCACTGCACTCCAGCCTGGATGACAGAGGGAAACACTGTCTCAAAAAAAAAAAAAAAAAAAAAAAGATTAGAACATGCCAGTGAAGCCTGAGGTTTTCTTCATGGAAACATGTTTGACTTCTGATTTCATCTCTTTAATGGTTATAGGATTATCCAGATTCCTATGTCAAGGCGAGTCAGTTTTGGTAAACTATATGTTCAAGCAATTTATCTATTTCAAATGTATCTTCAATTTTATTGGCACAAAATTATTCACAATATCCTCTCATTTTACTTCTACTGCCTGTAACATCCATAGCAATACCCTTCTTTTCATTCCTGACTTTGAATATTTTTGCCTTCTTTCAACTTTCTCTTCATCATTATCACCAGGGATTTATCAGTTTTCACACAGTCGGCCTGTGGCTTGGCCGATCCTCTCTGTTGCATGTTAGTTTTCTGTTTCTTCAATTTCTGTTCTCCTCTTTGTCATTTCCTTCCCTCTACTTTGAGTTTATTTGCTGTGCTTTTTTTTTTTCCAAACTTATTAAGATACATTCTTAGCTCATTAATTTTCAATCTTTTTTCTTTTTTAAGATGTGCATTTAAGTTATACATTTCCTTTTGGAGGCTTAAATGAAAAACAAAAATATGTTTAAATGCCTGCTCCCAAATACGCACTCAAGAAATATCTTATCCTCATCATGCAGTGTCATATGGGATGGGACCCCATCACAGTTTGCAGTTCTCTTGCTAGAGAGATGTGATATGTATTCACTGCGTATTCTCCAGGGGACTCTCTGAGGACTCATTCTGGGCCTCAGATCACTTCTCTTTTTGGGTCTTCTGGAGGCGTCCTCCACAGTGTAAGGCAGGGCACAGACAGGAACACGTGTTTTTGGCTCCGTCATCCTTGGGGAGCTTAGACCTTGTTCTCCTGCGATGGTTGGCAAGTCCATGGGAAGTATGAATTCTAACCTGCAAGCCTTTGGCAAATTACATTTTCTAAAAATGGTCACAATAGGCCAGGTGCAGTGGCTCACGCCTGTAATCCCAGCACTTTGGGAGGCGGAGGCCAGCAGATCACCTGAGCTCGGGAGTTCAAGACCAGCCTGGCCAACATGGTGAAAACCCATCTCTACTAAAAATACACAAATTAGCTGGGTATGGTGGCACATGCCTGTAATCCCAGCTACTCAGGAGGCTGAGGCAGGAGAATGGCTTGAACCAGGGAGGCAGAGGTTGCAGTGAGCCAAGATCGCACCACTGCATTCCACATTTCCTACGTTTTCTTGAATGAACTGGAAGGGATTACCACCATTTTCCATTTTGTTCTTCTAGCCTTAGGGCTGATAGTGACTTCCTGTAAATACTAGTCTTTGGATAACCTCATCTCCTTTTTGCTCCTCTACTTCTTCCAACATGTTTGTTACCAATTCTTCAAATTAAATTCTGCCTACTTGAAATACCTAGAAGAATTTCTGATTTTTTTTTAGACAGAGTTTCACTGTGACACCCAGGCTGGAACAGCAGCATAGTCTCAGTTCACTGCAACCTCCATCTCCTGGGCACAAGTGATTCTCCCACCTCAGCCTCCTGAGTAGCTGGGACCACAGGTGTATGCTACCACAGCCAGCTAATTTTTGTATTTGCTAGGCTGGTCTTGAACTCCCAGGCTCAAGTGGTCTGCCTGCCTTGGCTTCCCAAAGTGCTGGAATTACAGGCATGAGCCACTGCACCTGGCCTTCTGATTTTTCCTGATTGTCTATTGACTAATATACTTGGCATTACAGAACTTTGCATAATCTGCCCTTTGTTCAACTCTCCAAGCTCCATCTCCTAATCATTCTCCCTTTGCACCTGTTGTTCCCAGTACTTACTTAGAATGCTTTTCCCCCAGCAGTTTGTAAAGGAGCAGTGGGCTCCTTCCCACGTCTGAGGTCTTGGTGAAAATGACAGCTTTGTAGAACAGCCTTTCCTGTTATCTGGTGTAAACCTACCCTGTACCCAGGTACTCTTATCACACTACTATTTTTTTTTTTTTTTGAGACAGAGTTTTGCTCTTGTTACCCAGGCTGGAGTGCAATAGCATGATCTCAGCTCACTGCAACCTCCACCTCCCAAGTTCAAGAGATTCTCCTGCCTCAGCCTCTCAAGTAGCTGGGATTACAGGCATGTGCCACCATACCCGGGTAATTTTGTATTTTTTTTTTTTTTTGAGATGGAGTCTCACTCTGTTGCCCAGACTGGAGTGCAGTGGCATGATCTCGGCTCACTGCAACCTTCACCTCCTGGTTTCAGGGGATTCTCCTGACTCAGCCTCCCAAATAGCTGAGACTACAGGCACGTGCCACCACACCTGGCTAATTTTTGTATTTTTAGTAGAGACAGGGTTTCACCGTGTTAGCCAGGATGGTCTTGATCTCCTGACCTTGTGATCTGCCCATCTCGGCCTCCCAAAGTGCTGGTATTACAGGCATGAGCCAATACACTCGGCCAATTTTGTATTTTTAGTAGAGATGGGTTTCTCCATGTTGGTCAGGCCGGTCTCGAACTCCCAGCCTCAGGTGATCCACCCACCTCGGCATCCCAAAGTGTTGAGATTATAGGTATGAGCCATCATGCCTGGCCGGCACTACTCCTGTATTGTCTTCACAGCACTTATTACTTACCTTACCTAGCTCATTTATTCCTTAACTTGCTTACTATCTGCTTATCAGGCTAACAGAAACTCTGAAAGAACAGGAAACATATCTCTTACTTATTACCGTATCCAGTGTCTGGCACAGAGTTGATGCTTAATACATATTTTTGAGTAAATGAATGATGGAATGAGTGATATATAAGTCCTCCACCTCCCAGGCCGGAGATGGGTCCTGGCACCTACTGAGATTTTTGACATTGGAGGGTCCCAAGGGAGGATTCCTCTGCCTCCCATGAGGCAGGACCACCAAGGTCGGTGCCCAGCCGCAGGGTCCTACGCTCCACTTGTGCCTTCAGGCAGGCCCCTCGTGGGTAGTGGGAGACCTCCTTGTGGCTCTAGCCCTTCTCCTAACATATCCTAGTCAGCTTGCTTCTTTCCATGCTTCCAGCAGGCTGCAGGGCATCAATGATTAAAAGTGCAAGTCTGCCCAGAGCCAGTATCAATTAGACTACACACCCA